ATTACACAGATGTAAAACATGACCAGGTCTTTTAGTATTTAAGGGCTCTGTTTCAGCATGGCAATTCTTCAGGAAAAAACAAACAAACAAACCAGTTTTGTCTACTTAAATACCAATGTTACTTATTTTACTCATCTGATTTTTTTTAAATGAGGGTTTAAGATTTTAGTCAGTGCCTAAAGACCATCATGGTAGGAAATGTGAAAACAGCAGCCGGGGTATAGGTATTTTGGCTGAGGCCACTGGAGGAGTTTTATACTCCTAACAAAACTATCCTGGTCACAGATGAGTGCTGCCTTTTAACTAGTAAGCCTGTCCATCTTTGTAACTTCTGCACCTAGGACAGTGAGGTAATTAGGTACCTCAAAAAAAAAAAAAAAAAAAAAAGGCTTCTTGAAACATATGATGTCTTGGCTCTCTTTATGCACTTAAATGATCAAAATGGGTGTGTTATCCATTCTCAAGAAAACTTACTCGCAGACAATTATTCAGAACCTAGAGAACAACTAAAATATCCAGGTTACAGAGTGTTAGGAAGACTCTTAATCATCCTGATAAACAAGTGCTAAGCAAGAGTAAAATATGTGCAGAAAAATAAAGTTAGAATGAAGTCTTGAGAAGTACCTCTTTAGCCCTGCTGACTTCTTTCTCCCCCCCGAGAGCACTACCTTGTGGAACACTGGAATAAAACAAGAAAGCCCATGTCTTCGAGGCCAGTGTGAAATTTAAAACCGACATCTGCAAGAAAAATCGTTTCCCTTTCCTACCATATAACCTTCAACCTGCTGTATTAATATTTAAGTAGATGCTTGAAAAAAAAGCCTGTATTAATTTTCAAGAGGCTCCTGTTTTCTTCTTGAAGGCCAGAGCACCAGTATCAGGGAAACATACAGAGGTCGATGGAAGTTCATGCATTTATCTAAACTCCCTGGGAATGCTAAGAAATAGAAAACATTTTGAAAAGCTGATTCATACTTCATTAAAACAAACAAACAAACAGTTAATTGAAGAAAAAAACCCACACAGTTAAAAATCAGACCTCTTCTCTTTTACCTTCCTGTTGTATATAAACATCAGAAGATAAAAAAGGCCAAAGGAATATTCTGGTTTATTTTCTGAAAAAGTACAAGTTAGAAATGCTTGAGATATAGGTATGTAACACAACTACGTTGCAAACTGCATTGATAAGAAATGAAAATGCTATTTTCTTGTGCTTTTCAGGAAAACAAATGGTCTGGGGGCTCACATTGCCTGACAGGCTTTTGGTAGCCTCAAGCTTTCCCACGGTGGGGAAGGAGCACGTAGCTACATGTTTCTAATCATACATCTGAATGTACTGGATACACATGATTGGGGCTTCACAATTTTTCAAAAAATCCTGGTGGCACAGGCAATCTGTGCCGTTTTAAAATTATATATATATATATATATATTTACAGTGAACATTCTTAGGCTTATATAAAGACTGTAGCTTCAAGTAGCTGCTTCCTCCCATGAAATAAGGAGTATGGATGATTGAGTTTGTTAAGGCTGACATTTGAAATGGCAACTGCTTGGAACAGCTTTTCCACAAAAACATGTTTTTGAACGTATCAACTTCATAGTTGCCAGGTGACTTTAATATAACTTCTTACAATATATTTGTTAATATCCATCCTTCAGAATATATCTAACTTTGAAACTATCCTTCTTTGAATACCTTTGTTTTCTCCTGAATTTCCTCTATCCGTTGTCCACTGTCTTAGGACTTTAAAAGATTTAGAAATCACATCACATCTTTATTTTTACAAAATAGAGACGCTGTTTTTATGTGTCACAATGTAAAACATGCATTCTTCTGAATTCTATCAATACCTAAGAATTTATAATGTCTCAACATTTTCTTTCCAAGGTAAATATTCTATAGTTTCTATACTAACACAATTAAGTAATTACAGTGGCTTATTAACTTTTAATATTACTCTTTCCTAGACCCGACGATGCAACAAAAGACTGCTTTTGGAAAATGTGAGACATTCTCTTGTGTGCTTATCATAAAAATTGTCCAGTTGTCATTTAAAAGAAGCAATTCTTTGAAGAGGAGAATTTTAATGTGTTTTAATTAGAAGTTTACATGATTTTAATTTCTATAAAGGAATGAGGATTGCCATTACTGACTTTAATAGGCACCGCTTTTAAGAGAAGCAGCTGTAGTTAAAAGCTCAATTGTAATACATAATTTAAGGTTCAAAATATTGGTACTATTTAGGCTTTTTTTCACCAAGATGGACAGTACCACTTTCTGGAGTCAAACGATAAAATCTTTAGTAAAGGGTACAAATTTTCTTTAAGATAGCCCGTGCATTCTGAAATTTTCATTTTTACTTCCAACTAAAAGGCTGAGATTCTAGTCTTGTAAATATTTTGAGCCATTTTTTAGTAAGACACCTTGGGCTAAATGAAGAGCGTGCCATTCCTACTGTGTGAGTCCTGAGAGAAAATCATGAGAATACAGAGGGATGAAAAGGCTCGGAGCTCTTGTCCAAAACAGGTTCTTTGCTTCTTGGGTTCCTATCCACTTTAAAGGAGAGACAAAGTGGGAGCCGCCAAGGCACTGGGTTCTTAAAAGCTCTTGGAAATTGTGTTTTTAAGGTTATAAGATTAGGACCTTATTACCTTTGCCCCATGATAGCTTATGATGCTGAAATGGACAGGTGTCTCTTTTATTCTTAAATGGGATTGTTACAACGCCAGCCTGCACAACAGTTCCCACAATGCCTGGGCCCCCAGAACAACTGCCACGTAGAAACTATCAGGCACATGCCAGCCCCAGTCCTTGGCAGGAAATTCAAATGTGATTTTCAATCTGACACCAGATTTTTACTGCTATAAGCTGCTTCAGTATAACCCCGGAGCAGTATGACCTTTGCAGTTAACCACGCCTTCGCTTTTGGCAAAGACGTTTGAAACCATCTGTCACAGAAGAATAAGCTGTATTCAGTAAATTCCTATGCAGCTATATGCTTCCCAGTGCCCCAGTAGCAAGGGTGCTTGTGTGGGATCTGGATTTCAGAACTGGTGAGCCCAGATATAAAAGCCATAAGACAAGAGAGTAACCACTCAACTACAAGAACTACAGATGTAAGCACTGGGGTCAGACTCTTAAGTTCAGAGAGGCCGAGGTGCCCCCTCCTTCTGCCTCTCCAAGGATAATCTGCCAAGTATCCAATGCGGAAATGTTTGTGCTTTAAGTTTCCTTCATAAACACTACCGAGAAATGAACCAAAAGTATATGCTAGAAATAAAGTGGAGCTCTCCACTTGTTTAAAATTCTCAAGAATGCTGAAAAATTCCAGTTTAGAACAGCTGCATTTTTCTTGGGAGAACTTGTGAAAAACTTAAAAAAGCAGAAACTCAAGTTATGTCCACTCTAACCAAAAAGCACATGATGAATCAGGGCAGTGAGTTTTAAAATTCAGTTTCTAGGCCCCAGCAAAAACGTCTTTGTATTTTGACCCCCGATCAAAGGAAAGGCAAAACTCACTGTTCCAGGGGAGACATCGCCCCGAATTCTCTGGATTCATTATATCTCAAGCATTTACAGTGATGACAAAACATAATCAATGTTGCCAACAATGAAGAAAGCGTAAAACATTCTTACGGCCCATCTTCTCATTCGTATCTGGTTTTAGACAAATCTTCCTGCTCTTCAAGTTACTGAGTTAGAAAAATGTTAAACAACATTATGTATTAAAAAAGAGTAATTCCCACCCCAAAAAGCTTCCAAGGAGAAAAGTCTCCTAATTTTTCTCTTGTTCAAGATGGTAGTATAAGAAATATTGAGCTGTGAAGAATTCAGGAAGGCCTGACAACATATAAACATCATCTGGAACATTTTCTACTGAGGGAAGCAATGTTCATTCTTTGAAAACCCTAACTCTAAACACGGTCTAACTGTTGCATGCACTCAAAACATGAGTCAGAAAGCAAAGATAGCTAAACTTCCAAAAAGATACTTAATCTCTGTGTCTTTCAGCACTAACCACATGTAAGGCAGAGATGACACTGGAATATAAGGAACAGTAGGGAAAACGGCAAGAGAAAAAAAATAAAGCTGTTCACAATGCCCAGGGCAGGCTGGCTCTGCAGAGAGAGGAGTACGCACAAGGCACTAGAAACAAGCACAGCCTGGGGGATGGAGAAAAGATCATTTTATACAGTAAATATATATTTCTAAAAAATAGTTAAAGACATTCCCTCTGATTCTACACTGACAATATATTCTAAAAAAAAAATCGTAAAACACTAAGTAACAGTTTAAAGCAATCTATGTGCTGGTGATAGAGAAAAACCGGTCCTCTACTCACTGCCTAGGTAACAACAATGAATGCCAGGTAGGAAGATCTCATCAGAGCAAGAACATAACAGAGGGGGGACCCTGTTAGGATAGCGAAATCGGAGCCATAAGCCACAATCTGAATCTAACTATTTACAAAAGGTTCATTGAAAGCAAGCAAGCAGGAGGTGCAAGGGAAAAGCTTAAGCAATCTGTTATTAGTTATGTAATGGCAGTAATATATATTAGAGGCCCTGGGGGATAGATAAGATGGATACTTTGCAAACAAGGCAGTGCATGGTAGAAAAAGTACAGTGTAATAGGGAAAACTTAAATGGTATTCCTGTCTCTTGTCAGAGAGAACTACTCTCCACACTAAAACAGGAAACAGTTTCTGACAAATTCCTAAAATCAAAAACAAAACACAGTTTCTGACAAATTCCTAAAATCAAAAACAAAACAAAGTAACAACAAAACCCAAAAAGGAAACAGATTTCAAATCAGGAAATAAAGCCTTTCTCTAATTTTTTTTGACAATTTTACCTATTTGAGGTACACTCCCTAAATCTATAGCAAGTAAGAAAAAGCTTATAGGGTATTTTTCAAAAGAAACAATAAAGCATATAATACAGGTTAAAATGGACTTATATTGAGTAAATTCAGCTTTTTGAAGAGTGAATAGAATGTATGCTTTAAAAAACAGGTCTCTTAAAAGATACTTGCATTTTTTCCCTTTTGTTGCGTGTATAAAACGTCATCTAAATAGTGAACCTTTTACTGCTAGCAAATTTACTGCTTTTGGCCATGAAATTTTGAGGACATAGGCTCAACGTTCTAATTTGAGAAGCCCATTCTGGTAAATTACCTTTAGTCAACAGGCACCTGTTATTTATAGGTCACTTTGAGTCTTTAAAATTCAATTATTCTTGTTGTTTACAGAAAGTAACACTTTTAGGAGAACAAGAATCACACACACACACACACACACACACACACACACTCACATTCTCACTCAAAAGTACCGAATCAGGCTCGGGCAGCTGCAGAGAGATTACATCATAACTCAGCTGTGCCTGGATTGCTCACTTCACACTGGCAGCATTCAAGGTTAGAAAAATGAAATGGCAGCACAATTGGTCAGCAGCTTCTCTTCTTCTGGAATTTTTCCAGGTTCTTGAAACAAACAAACAAACAGACAAACAAACAAACGAATGAACATAAAGCTGCAAACATTCTTGCATTGATTTCAAAACAGTACACGAGGTGGTTTCCATGGAGAAGCAGAGCCCGTCCAGAAGACGGCAACTAGAAGATCCCCAGCCAGTGATCCTCTGCAGCTCTGCCGGGGCTTACTCAGGGTGGGGGGCGGGGGGGGGGGCATCAGCCCCCAAGGGTGTTCTCCGGGTGATCAGCTCAAGGCGGCGGCCGGCACCTCAGGCTGTATTCATCTCTGAGCTGTTCTGGCTGGGAGGGAGATGGGCATCCAGGTTCTCCTTGCACCTCTCCAGGTCATGGAAGTATGGGTGAGACAGGGCACTGTAGGCGGATATCCTTTTGGCTGGATTAAATGTTAAGCACTTCTGTGATAAAGAAAAAAAAAATCACTGACTGACGTAAAACATGTCCATTTAAAATAATCTGTTTACACAGTTACACATTTATTCGCCACCATCAATTAAGTGTGTCTATAAAGAGAATGAATATCTACTTCAGGGGGCACTACGGGGCGCCTGGGTGGCTCAGGCGGTTGAGCGGCCACCTCTTGGTTTCAGCTTAGGTCACGATCTCACGGTGGTGAGATGGAGCTCTGCGTGGGGCTCCACGCTCAGAGGGGAGTCTGACTGCTTGAGATTCTCTCTCTCCCTCCTCCTGCTCATGCTTTCTCTCTCTCAAATAAATAAGTAAGGGGCGCCTGGGTGGCTCAGTCGGTTAAGCATCTGCCTTTGGCTCAGGTCATGATGTCAGGGTCCTGGGATTGAGCCCCGCATCGGGCTCTTCGCTCATTGGCGAGTCTGCTTCTCCAACTCCCTCTGTGATCTCTCTTGCTTTTGCGCTCTCTCAGATAAAGAAATAAAATCTTTAAAAAAATAAAAAAAGAGGGGCACCTGGGTGGCTCAGTCGGTTATGCGGCTGCCCTCAGCTCAGGTCATGATCCCAGGGTCCTGGAATTGAGCCCTGCATCGGGCTCCCTGCTCCACGGGAAGCCTGCTTCTCCCTCTCCCACTCCCCCTGCTTGTGTTCCCTCTCTCACTGTGTCTCTCTCTGTCAAATAAATAAATAAAATCTTTTAAAAAAAAATAAGTAAATCTTTTAAAAAAGGGCACTAAACAAAATGTAGACATAGCCATCTTATATACGGGCTCAATGTATAAACTGCCCTTCAGGAAAACGCAACAGCTTTTGGGGTGCCTGTGGACTGTTACCTCCCCAGGCTTTCTCTTCAACCCACCCCACATCCTTTAAAAAAATATTATTATTACTGTAGTATGTATACAACTTTATTTAGATAGTGATTTTTCTAATGCCAACCAACTTAGTCCTATAGTCAGCGGCATCACCCGAACTTTTTACCCTCCCCCAAGGTTTCAATACTGATGAGTCGGGAATGGAAGGGGGTTACCTTGTTCAGGGGTAAAAGGCTAATTACTGAATGATAGTAACAGTTTCCGACAAATTTCTAAAATCAAGACCAAACCAAAACGACAACAAAACGAACAAGAAAGGAAATACATTTTAAACCAGGAAATAAAGGTTTTCCTTATTAGGGAAGGGGCAAGTAAGGGCTAACACCTAGGCCCAGCTTATCCAGATCACCAGCCAGCTGTGGACTCTGCCCCAGGGCTGAACCATCCTCTAGGTTCAGTTCTGGTACCAAACTCTATTCCAGGCTGTCAACTCCAGTGCAGGCAGAAGGTGAAAGGTGGGGAAGGTGAACCTCAGGAGCCACAATCTCCGTTCCCAAACTGCCGATTCATCATCAAGTAGGCAGAACGCTTCCCTAACCTCAGTTCCACTTCCAGTCCAACCCCAGGTGATCCTGTTCTTGAAACCCTCCTCCTGCCCTTTCACGGACACCTCCAGAGTGCCCAGCAGGTGGCCAGCACTAGTGAAGGATGAGGAAGACCCGCCCATTGCCCAGGGACACACAAGCAGCAGAGAAGCTCCACCAGCTTCCCCATCCATGTGATGCAGCGCCCACTGAAGTGAGCTGGGCACCCGAAATGTCTATCAATTTCAGTCCCCTCTGTACATTATCATGGTTATGCTGACCTCTTCCATGTAACCTGGGTTTTTGCCCTCAAGGAGCTCAGAGTCTCAGTCAGGTCCTGACTAGATTAGGACCCTCTCTAACACTCTGTGGAACACTACTGACCTGGAAAATTCTATATATAATTCCAGGCAAATTTTTGGATCCCCTGAAATCTTATTTATGCTGAGCTCCCCACCAGTCCATGGAGGCCAGTTTCTCATAATGTCTCCTGAAAACCAAAGAGCCAAAGGGCAAGCAGAGGAAGAGCTTGTTGGTAGAATGGTCCTACTGTCTCTCATAGCAAAAAACATCTTAAGAAAAGTTTTGCATGGGCTGAATTCCCTCAGGACAGAAGAGCAGGAGCAAAATCCTTGAGCCTGAGGTCTCTCTTCCCCAGAGTCCGGAAAGGAGAAAATTAGGTAGTGACATTAGAAAAGGAAGCAGCCGGTTTAATCCCCGGGACATAGGAAAGAAGAAAAAAAAAGTTGTGGGAATATGTTCAAGATAGAGAGACATGTCCCTAGAGGACTGTGTGGGAGGAAGCCCATCCTCACAGCTATCCTAATGGCTTAGAGCTGGGAAGAGGGTGGAGGGAAGGAGAACTCCTTAGCCTAACACGGAAGTGTGTGAGAATCTCCAGTTGGAAGTCTTTTTTTTTTTTTTAAGATTTATTTATTTGAGAGAGAGAGAGAGAGAGAGAGCGAGCGAGCGCACACACTAGTGGGGAAGGGAGAAGCAGAATCCCTGCCGAGCAGGGAGCCCGATGCGGGGCTTGATCCCAGGACCCTGGGAGCATGACCTGAGCCCAAGGCAGACGCTTAACGACTGAGCCACCCAGGCGCCCCAAGATGGAAGTCTTAATACTTGAGGTGCTACAGAAACATTGTTAGACATGGTGGCTAAGTTCTATCACTGCTCTACGTCAACAGGGCAATGGGATGACTTGAGAATTAATTGAAAATCTTGTGTAAGAATATTGTTTCTCCAAGAAAATCTAATTTACCTGCCAAATAACTGACTGATAAAATGAACTTTTGGAACTGCTATTTAGTCAAGAGTTGAATACTATGATGGATTGGATCATTTTCCAGCAAGTATCCTCCTTCTTCCCACCCCTCCCTTCACGGGAGGAGTATTCTTTCCTCTGTTAGAGTTGGCCTTGGCCACATAACTTACTTTGGCCAATGGAATGTGGACAGAAGCAGCAGGGTGCCGCTCCCAAGCCTAGGCCATTGGGGCCATCATGTGTTTCTGCTTGCCCTTCTGGGAGCATCCACCTTCTATTATGAGAAAAACCTGCCCCAGGGAGCCAAAGCCCCTCTTGTTCTGGGTCCCAGAATGAGACACATGGAGAACACTTGTCCTTGACCCACAGGCTGCAGCACAGCTGTCTCTGCCAATCTGCAGACCCATAAGCAAGAAACAAATGATTACTGCTGTGCGCTAGGGAGACTTTTGGGTTGTGTGTTATGCAGCAAAAGTAGACTAATCCAAGGAATACCCCCCTCCCCCAATATGTGCCTTGAGGCTCTGAAAACAGCAGAAACTCTTAAAACTTTTTTCAGCAAGAGCATCGTATTCGGAGTAAGTACTCAGCCTCTCAAGTTAACCACGACGAAGGGGACAAAACGTGTAACGATGGGTAGGTTTTGGATGTTAAAAATAGTCTTCCCCCGAATGGGCTTATTACCGTGCACTACTTATGTGTGTATGTAAGAGCATTTATAAATGCCGACGGAAACATCCATCCATCCATAGGTGAGACATGATAGCGTCAGCCTTGCTTTCAGATAAAACAAAGGACAATTCTTAAAGTGCTAAAATTGAAATGTTGCTTCTTAAAGGAAACAACTTCCTAAAATACCTTTCCCTCTTCACCCCCACGAAATCATTTTGAGTAGAGGCAACAAACACTGCTGGGCTCTCCGCTGCTTCTCTGCCGCCAAATGGCTCTTTCTTCTGCTCGACAGTTCTGCCCCGTGGCCCTCTAGCAGGAAACAGGGAGAACTTTCGGGGGTTTCTGAGCTTTGTGGTCCTGGGCTGCCCTCTCCCGGAACGCCCAGGGATTATTACGTTTTGTCCTGCAGTCTCTTCTAGTCCTCATGTCACTGGGGCTGCCCCTTATTCTTTTCCTTTGCTTTTTCTAATCCCTGCTGACACTCATCGTCTACCCTCTTCCTTCTCTCTCTGGTAGTTTCTTTGTTCCTATTTCTTCTTTGTCTCCTGCTGCTTCTTTAGTCCAGCACTAGTGTGTGGTCTGACTTGGAAAGCTGCCCCCTTCGAGCGGGAGACACTGAATGAGCATGCGGCATCGTCTGCCATCTTGACAGTCTGAGTTCCTCCTGGTGATTCCTACTGACGTTGGAGCCAGGAGATACTCTGAGCTGTCTTTGGGTGTCCCAGTAGCTGAAGGAGTGGGATGCTTCACAGCTAAAATTGGCTATCACTGTGATTCTGTGTCCAGAATCTTCTTCTAAGAGGAGCATTCCATTCAAAGTTCTTGCTGAAAAGGAAAGCCGATGGTGGCCATATTTTAGAACACATCGTCCCTACCCCCTCCCAGCACAGCTGCCTGGGCCCAGAATGGTGACCTGGCCCTCGGCAGCAACTCCTATCATGGCTTGGCAAAAAGGTGAGGCGTGTCAGCCACATTCTTCCTTTTGGGAATCTGACGTAGGAAATACTAACAGAGCAAATGTGAGCAGTGGGGGTTAGAGCTGAAAGGATCCAGGAGTTGGCCGAAGTTCTGAGAGTCAAGGGGCCAGCCGCAGTTAAGGGGAGCAGACGGTACTACCGAAAAGAGGCACTGAAGGGGAGAAAAAGGCCTGCAGGGCAGAGACAAGCAGATGGTGATGCTCTTAGCAGGACCGAGAGAGCATTTACACTCTGCATGGCTTTTCACTGCCAGGCCACATGAAACATTCCATCAAACCCCCTTTTCTTAAGGTAATCCAAGTACTTGTCTGTTACATGAAACCCAGGAAAAATTTCCCTAAATAGTAGGTGAGCCAGCAAGTGTGTATATGTAGTGAGCCTCTCTATAGGAGACTATATTCTCCCTTCTAATAATAATGTCTTTCAAAGGATGTGAGCCAAAAGTCCTTAGTGAGTGTCTTAGAAATGGAACAGTGAGGAGGGAATATAGCTGTCCTTCTCTGTAACGTGGCAGGGGAGGGAATCTTTGAGTAAGTCAGAAAATGAGCCACCATCAGGTGAAGATGGAATTAGGGCTTTCACTGGGAGACTCATGGCTCTGCGAACATGCCCATCAATGGCTGTGTCCACACAGAGCTAAAGTAGAACATTTCTACTAAAGCCTATAGACTCAGGTCTATATCGGAAATTTAGAATACATTGACAGAACGGGAGCACTAGTGCCTCCAGGTCTAGGAGCACCTTCTTGGTGCGATATCAAAGATTGTTAGTCAGTAGGTAAAGGATACACTTACTATTCATTGAGTTCTGAACACCAAGGGTAGCTCAATAGGTCCACTCCTCTTATCTATTTTTCTGTCTGCCAAGCATAGGGAAGGATGTATAAGGCCAAGTATTACGAGTCTGAATCTCAAACAGAACACAAGTCCTTATTTTCAGTGTGCATGCCGCATTGACTACTCATTGGAAGCATATGTCTACGTGAATCGAGAGGCTTCTGTGGCCGCGTTCAAATGAACATTTAAAGATGGCAGACTGAAAGTGTGTGGGTCAGACTCTTTCTCCTTCTGTAGGAAACGAAGACATTCCAGAATCAAAAGCCACCAGCGGCGGCAGGTGTGGAAATGAAAGCTGCATAGAGGTGGTGGCCTCTTGCTCTGCGTGGCTGTGGTTTGTGATGCTGAACCGATGCTGGGCCCACCCCCAGGAGACCACCCAGCGGGTGGGTCGCATCTCTCATCAGCACTGCACAAGACCAGCTCTGCACCACGGGCACTTACCAGAAGTAGGTCTTTGCCTTGTTCATCGATATCTGTTACAAACTTCTCAATCGGTTGAGGAGATTTTGAGTGAAAAGCCTGCCTGGGAAGGGCGACATCTCGAGGCCAGTCTTCCTCTCCCGGGAGTCCGATGACGCTACAAAAGAACCATGCGTGAACATAAGCATCATTAGCTGCTATGCTGAAGCTGTTTTCCCACCAAAGTCCAGATGATGGTGAAGTCTGAGAGGCAGGCATGGGGGACACAGAGCCTATTACTGGCAGGTCTCTCGTCTCTGTCCCTACTTCAGTATGATGATCACAGGGTAGAGGGTGATATTTCAGGAGAATTGTAAAATTCACTGGGAAGGGTTAAGAGATTCCTCTAGTAGCAGATACTAAATGTATGAGATGATGCAGAAATAGAAAATAGTATATTACTACCAGTAAGTCCTGACATACTGACAGAGTAGGAGCCCCACATGGGCATATATTTTCCTTTATGCCCAAGAGTGCTTTTTGGGTTCTGATCCAACACTCTCATACTGCCATGCTTTTATAATGCTCATCTAACACGATTCATTAGCACATAAATTTGGTTGCACTTTTGGTTAAAGAATAATTCCCTAAACAGTAATTACATACGTTAGAATCAGGCCAAAAAGAGGCTAAAAGATATGTGAATCCTGTGCTAGGCAAACACTATTTTATAATTTAACTTCAAATTAAATTCATTAAGTTAAATTTAGTTGATGTATATTTTATATTACAAAACTAATTTTTTTATTTTAAAAGATTTTATTTATTTACTATTTATTTATTTTAGAGAGAGTGAGCGAGCAAGTAGGGGCAGGAACAGAGGGAGAGAGACAAGCAGACTCCAGGCTGAGCACAGAGCCTGACACAGGGCTCGATTTCACAACCCTGAGATCATGACCTGGGCCGAAATCAACAGCCGGACAGTTAACCGACTGAGCCACCCAGGCGCCCCTACAAAACTATTTTATAGTATTCCAAAGTGAGCAAACAATAAATAAAGACAGTATCACTTATGCTTCCCCTGAAAATTATTCTGGGATCAGAAAGACGTGGAGAGAAGATCAAGTGATATAGAAACAGCACAGGCATTGTATGTCAACTATATTTAAATACAAAAAATAAATTAACAAAATAGCGTAGACTTTGGAAAAGGCAGACCTGGGTTCAGATTCTACTCCTACAACTTATTGGTAGGTAAGGACAAACTACTTAACTTCTGTGAGCCTCAGTGTCTTTATTTATTAACAATCATAATTCACAGTGAGAATTTATATAAAGTGCATAGCACAGTGCCTGACACACAGTACTTGTTAGTATCAATACATTACCCATTATTAGTATTATTATTTTAAAGATCTTTATTGATTTATTGAGACAGAGAGAGAGAGCACGAGAGGGGGAAGAGACAGAGGGAGGAGAAGCAGACTCCCCTGATGGGCAGGAAGCCTGACATGGGGCTAGATCCCAGGACCCTGAGATCATGACCTGAGCTGAAGGCAGATGCCCAACCAACTGAGCCACTCAGGAGCCCCACCCATTATTTTTACTATTATAAGAGGAAAATAATGTTATTAATCTAAAATGCACTGGCAATGCATCACTACTACACTAAAAATACAAATTGCTTGAGTCCTATTGATGTGTGACTTGAGGTTCTTCAGAAATATTAATAGGTCGGTGGCTTTACATAACTTATTTGAGAGATAGAGAGAGTTCACACACATGAGGTGGGCGGGGGCCGGCGGCAGAGTCAAGCAGACCCCACACTCAGTGGGGAGCCTGACGGGAGGCCAAGCCCACGACCCCAAGATCACGACCCAGTGGAAACCAAGAGTGGTATGCTCAACGGACTGAGCCACCCACGCACCCCTACAATATGGAGATATTATTTAAAGTTTATGTATATAGGGGCACCTGGGTGATTCGGTTGAGCATCTGCCTTCGACTTAGGTCATGATCTCAGGGTCCTGGGATCCAGCCCTGCATCGGGCTCCCCGCTCAGCGGCGAGTCTGCTTCTCCCTCTCCCCTCTGTGATCTCTCTCACTTTCACTCTCAAATAAATAAATAAAATCTTAAAAAAAAATAAAGTTTATACATAGATAGTAGGTAGGTTTGAACAAGGGAAATCAGGGGATGCAAGAACTTATATCTCACAGACTCTGATTAACTCCAAACTAAAAAGTTATAATGTAGTGGACAGAACATACGGCTATTCAAATTTACCAAACTTTTTTTTTAAGATTTTATTTTTAAGTAATCTCTATGCCCAACATGGGGCTTGAACTCACAACCCTGAGATCAAGAGTTGCATGCTCCACCAACTGAGCCAGCCAGGCGCCCCCTTGCCAAATTACTTTAACTACAGATAGCAATGGTGCTGGCCTGTGTTAAGAGTCTTCTCCTTGGCCTGCACTCACTGGGCCACAGGTCGAGAAAATGTGTTCTCCTGAATGGATTTCCAGGTTTCAGGAAGATGTGGTGGTGAACGTCACAGGCTCTCTCTGTAAGACTTTCTTCTCCCTTTTATTCCCTCAACAGAGCCCAGGTCACAGACCTCACCTGGGGAGAGCAGACACCTGTATCATAATTGCACCTGTCACTGGGTGTCCGGGAAAAGACCCTGTAATCCTACCTCTGCTGGACATGCTGGGAGAGCCACGTTGTTGAGGCAAATAAAGACAGACTCATGGACATATTTACCAGAACAAGGGAATGGAAATGCAACTTGGGCAATACACAAATTTACTTAATAGCGAGATCTAGAGGAAGAGTAGAAAGAAAAAGGATACCACTATTAATTATTCAAGGACATAAACGTGTATGCTTGGAAAGAATGGGATAGGCAAAAAAAGAAAAAGAGAACGCTTATGAAAGAACTTTAACAATTTCCTTCATTTTTAGTGTTCTAGCCATTTTTATATCTTTCTTTGGCATTACCATCGCCAGTCACCTAGAAATCAATTATAGAAATTCTTAGTAATAATTTAAAATCTTTAAAAAAATCTTTTTATCTGCAGCTTTGAATATATTTATATTGAAATAAATCTGGTGATGTGGGTAGCTGAGTGCCAAAAGCAAAAAAAAGTCTCTGTGTGTTCATGTATGTGTGGTGCATAATTATATATATGTGTACATAGCTATCTATATAAATAACTTTTGAAAGTATTTTTAAATCTACCCCCTCCTCTGATCCCCTAACGACCTCCTGAGACATGCAGGTCAGTTATTACTTCCTTTTTATAGATGTGGAAACAAAGGGATGAGGAGCGAAATCAACCGCCAAAGTCACACACAGTAAGTTCAGCCACAGAGCGGGAGCAAACCCAGCTCTCCGGATTCCAAATCCAATATTTTGTTTCCATTTAACTATGACTCTGCTCTGAAAAATGCTCTAAAATGTCACGAGCTAAAAGCATTCAGTTTCACTTTCAAAGTACTTGCTGTTCTTTGAAAGTATAAATCTTTCTAAATGCAGAAACAGTTCTCCCTGTAAGAGAATGTGAATGTGGCTTTCCTTAAAAAAAAAAAAAAAAAAAAAAAAAAAAAAAAAATCCCCCAGCCCCCAAAGAAAGGAAATTTAAAAAAAAAAAAAAAAAAAAAAAAAAAATCCCTTTAATATCCAGTATGAACTTTTATGGCCCATATACGAACGTTGTGAAACTCTGATAGGTCCATTAAAAAGTGCCTGCATCAAGTTTCAGTATTTGGACAGCTGAACATAAGCCTTAAAAGTTGACATCTGTACTGTAAAGACTGACAACACAAAATCTATAAATGGCAGAGGGAACAGAAATCATTTTTCAAGTACTTTAGAAATGACACTAGGGTGCAGCATTGTCCCTCTTCTTTATGCCAAAGGAACCAAGGCAGAGTAAACAGAACATAATTTCAGCGAAACAAGGCCAGAAACCAAGAAGTAAATGCTAAAGGCCTAAGACCTATAGAACTTCATGGCTTCTTTTCTGCTGGCAACCTAGGGTCTCAGGCCTTTGCCAAAAGTGGAACTGGCTCTCCCTTGGGCACAAGTCAAACTTGTTTGTCAGAGGTTCTCTCGGGTCCAGCTCCCTGGCTTCCGATACTTAGGGGCACTAACAAGGCTAACAAGTTCGCAGACCCCAGGGCTGGAGCTGGACAGAACACCCAGGTGATGTCAGTAAGGGAAAGGTGGTGATGGGTTTAACGTCTGGCAAGCTGGCTTCTGTCATGATCACTTTTCCCTTTAACAAGAGTCACTGGTGTGTCTGACTTTCCCAGTTCCTGCTTCAAGTTCTCACCGCACACAAACTATATTCAACAGTGCTGGGGAAGAACAGATGCGGGTTCATCACTCTATGAGCAAAGACGAGTTGACATCCAGAAGCAGACAGAACATGAGTTTTGTCCTGACTCTGTCCATTTTATGGAGTGGCAGGAGGAGGAGGAGTGGGAGTCTTGGCAGCTGCCCTGGACCTGGGAAGCCCCCACACAATAAAACCAGCAAATATTTTTCAGGCCTTAAAGCCACTGGATTCTGATTCAGCAGTGCCACTGGCATCATTCGAAATCTAGTGGAGCTTTCCAGTCACTAAGTGAACAAACTGAGGTTCCGGTTTTATACCAACTGTTTTAAGCAGTCATGCTCGAGTAGATAGTGTTAACATATAATTATTTTCTTTAGGGATACTTTTCACCAGTTTTGCGGACGGAAAATACCATAAAAATCACTGGGATTCCTATAAAGTGTCACAGACCAATGATCGGGGCTGCTTTTGGTTCTAGAACTCCCATTTTTTTCTTACTTCACCCCAGTTCTGAGGGGGCTTGGCAAAGGCACCTATCCCAAAAGGATGCCATACTTCATGCTTTGTGAGAGGAAAGGCCTCTTCTTAACATTCTAGAAACACAAAAGCATACATACCCCCACAGTTACAAACATGTAGACATGAATGGAATTCTGCAAATCATCAACGAGCTAAGTAATAGACAATTAGAACCAAAGAATTTGAGCGCAAGAAAAGATCTTAGAATTTACGTCCTAAGTTTCAGTATTCAGGTGAAGAAGTTAAGGAACAAAAAGGTTAAACAATTAATGATGAATTATAATCATAGCTACCATTTTAAAAGCATTCAGTAGCACCAGGCACCGTGCATGCACTTTACAGGGCATTTTATTTTATTTTTTTACAGGGCATTTTAAATAACTTTCTCAAGACTGCATAGAATTTAGCAACAGACATAGGGTTAGAACCTAGGATTCTCATTTCCTATTTTGGGGCTCCAAAGAAAAATGGGTCGTGTAGCATACCATCCAAAACACAACAATGTAAAATCAATCTAGATGACTCAATGGGGATACTCAATGGGGACAGGAAGCCCAGTGGGCAAGGATGGGTTACCAGGCAACCAAACGCCCCACCACGGACGACGGACGCATCTGAAATGGCCCCAAGCAGACAACACATCTGAACTCAAGAAATGGAGCTCAGCCGGGTGGGAGAAGGAGGATCCTCGAAAAGATCCACGTGAGCAACACACAAGCTTCCAGAGCAGACTGGTTAGGCCACAGGTCGTGATGGGCTCTGCATAAAACAGCATGTCTGCCATGTCCCCACTCACCACACAAATAGTAACACTGACTGTGGCCGCAGCTTGGAGGAGGAAAGACAAGAGGTAAACATTTTATATGAATGTCAGAGGAAAGGCACTGTAAATGTTTTCATGCTACGAACGCTGATGTAAAATTACAGTTACTACTTACTCCAAGATTTTTCCAAGCTGATCGACATCTGAACTTCCACGAAAAAGAGGCCTACAAGAATAAAGATACATATCAAACAGGGAATTTTCTCATTACATTTCAATCATATTGGTCATTACCACTGTTTACAGGAAGCAGAACATTCTTTAAGGGTGAGGAAGGAGTAAAGAAGTGAGACATCTTTCCTTTGGTCAATGAAGAATTTTCTTGCACTTGACTTCATGTTAAGGATCTGTCGTAAGTATCGGCTGGTCCCTGACTCCCCTGTTTTATCACCGTGGGTATTCTATTCGCACTCACTGCAACAACAGTGCCACAGGGGACACACAGGCCCTGGTTTCAAAGTCCTACCCAACTTCCTGATAGGGTGGAACACATCACTGTTCTAGTCTGGACCGAGGGGTTCGGGGGCTTCTTTGAAACTGTTCTTGGTTAGATTCTTCTCCGAGCTCCCTTTCCTCACCTCTCTGCTATCACAGGACTTCCTCAGGGGGCTCTCTCTTTCCGTGGGTCCTGATGCTGCAGTGACATACCTCTGGACCTATTTTTCTGATTTTATCACTCTCCTTTCTCACAGTATTATGGTAGTTAGCCATCACTCCGGGCTTCAGAGGAACACACAGCCCTCAGTGTCTGCACGGAGCATTTAACTGGCAATTAAATGAGCTCACTTGGTGACATTTCTGGCATTTTCCCAAGTAGGTCAATACCCCTAGAGGGCAAGGACTTCTCTAGGTTTGCCTCTATAATCTTTGGCCTAGTGCTTTACCTTAACAGGTGCTCAGTTAATAAATATTTTATTTAATATATTCCTATGGCACACATGGAAATGTTTCCTAACCCCTTGCTCAATGACTGACAGATATTTTTCAACAATAATGGGCTTTAAAAAATATTTGTAGCCTATTACCAGAGACCATATTTTTTAAATGTTATATATCAATTATAAATATAAATATTATATATCAATTTTAGAAAAGCCAAACAATGGAATCTTAACAGCTATTATTTCTAGAACAGTAATGTTGACTCGAATATAATACCATGTGCTCCCCAAACATCTCATTTAATTCTCACAGAAATTTCAGGAGCAAGGTAGTATTATTATTATCCCTATTTTCTGATGAGCAGCTAGGATTAGAGATGTTCTAGACTTACCTAAGGACAAATAACAAAATGCAGACTTTTATTAAAATTCAAACCAGGTCCACCTTGCCCCAAAGCCTATCTGCTTCATTATTATATTGTAATACTTTTTATTTTGGTTACTAATGTCCTCCACACTCACAGACACTCCCTACAGTGAGCCTTTGGGGTGAAATAGCACGGAGACTGTGTGAAGAGCACTTTAGAGAGAACCCAGTGTCTCACAAGCAGGTGCCTGTGGGATTCTGTACTCATTGCTCTGCAAATGTCCAGTGTCTTTAAATTCTTGCCCTCTTTAACAAGGAACAAAGCAATTTACCAGACTGATTGAAGTTCTCTATTCTTTCCATACACTTCCTGTCTGATGGCCCTTCTAAATTTTTTTAAGTTTTTTTTTTATTTTTTTTATTTTTAAAGACTCTATACCCAACATGGGGCTCGAACTTACAACCCTGAGGTCAAGAGTCGCACACTCTACTGACTGAGCCAGCTAGGCGCCCCTTAATTAGGTTTTTAATTTTAATTCCAATGTAGTCGACATACAGTGTTAGGCCCTTCTAGACTTTTACGTTCTGCCCCCTGTGCAATCTTTTACAGCTACTTTGCTCACATCTTCATTGATAACACCATTTTTCTTTTCCTTTCCAAAGCGCAGAACTTGGACTGCACAGAAACAACAGTGCCCTTTCTTTTCACACTCCTGTTTCCTTAGTATTAAGGTATAAAATTACAGAACTAAGTATAACCAGCATTAGGAGGTTTGGACAAACACAAACGACCCCTCTTTGCGTAGCATATATCTCAAATGGCTTGAGCGCTGGGCATGCCGGGTAGCAGGCGCAGAGAGAACCGAGCGCACACCTTTAACTGATAAGCTGGTGAAACGGTTTTGTAAACATGCCAAGCCCCTCACCCTGCATGAAGAAGACTGGTATGCACAGTGAAATTATCTTTGAGGATCATGGAGCAGCTTAAAAGAAACTGGCCATGGCTACTGGGAAACAAACAAGGCAGACTGCCTTGAGTGGACGTTGTTCCCAGGCAAAAGCACAAGCCTTTCTCTTTCCTGAGGTGGGTACTGAGACCCCGAAGCTCAGCTCCGGCAGCGCAGGGGCTCATGCCCTTACTGGTTTGGTTTTCGGCTCCCTTTTTGTTTTTTTCCCTTGGCAATACTGTAACATTTGCTAGCTCCACTGTGCATTTAAGCAAGTGCTTGCTCTATTTTACCTTACATTTGATACATGTTTAGCAGAGCACTTTCAAATCATGTAGTCCACCATACTGCCAGAGCCTGAAATCTTGCCTCTCTTGGCTGGACTTGGCTCCACAGAATGAAATGTGCTTTACATCCTTGAGTTAGAATTGGCCCATTAGTTTGGCCTGCTTTAATGAAGGCAAGCAGCAGAAAGGTCTGAATCATAACCACTTCTCTGTGACCTGCTGTGGGGAATACTAGAAACTCGGAAGCAACAATTCAGTATATGGCTCAGAATGACTTTTGTCACGTAGGAAGACCTGGCATGGGACTGTGAGGTCTACTAATTTGGCTTTAGGATGGATATGGATTGGCTTGAGTTATACAGAACCACTAAATCCTGACAGCATGCAATTAACTCCCATAAAATAGATCTTTGGGTGCAAAGACATCATCACAAGACAATGGCAATGAGTCACATGAAGGGGGGAACAGCCTACCTGGAACTGGTACTCTTAGTTGACCAAAAAGTGATCATGAATGTGATCAAATTCTTAGGACCATCCATTCAGTTTGGGGCTGAAAATGCTCAAGTCTGTAGGAGCCGGTTTTGTGATAGAAGATGCTACGTTCATTAGAAGCATGGAGAGTTACAATGGATTTAGAAGAAAGATGAAAAGTTTTCATCATGATGACCTCCTGGGGGTGCTATGGTGGAATACTGATATGTAAGAAGAAGATTGTCCCAATTATATGATACAATCTGTCTTTAAATAAGGCTCCGTGGTCAAAAGTCTTGGCTGTATCAGGTCTCGGACCTGTGTGCATCATGTACTAGGACTGTATTTTCACTGAAGTTATTTTGCATATTTCTTCCTTCCTCAGATAAGCTGAGTTAAATATCCTTCAAGTCATGTAATTTATGGCATATTTTCGGTGGACAATTATGGGCATCTTTGACTATATTCTTTGGTTTAGTGGTAAGGGAGAGTTTAATTCTACTGCCTTGAATAATTTTATAATTGTAGGAATGATTCAGCTAAAACACACACATACATGAGTCAAACTTGGCTGGTTCTTTATTACCATGACATAGGGCTGAGCTGGAAGGAAGTAGAGGGTTGAAGGACCAACATGGGGGGAGAGTAAGACACAGAAAGACTGAAAGACAGACTGAGCTACAGATGGTCAGACGGAGACAATGTGAGGAGGTCCAAAATAACTTTGAATTCCATTTCTTCCTATTGCCTAAACATCTACCTCTCCTGGAAATCTCAGGGTATATTTATATGGGCCCTTCATGAAGACTGAAGCTGGAAGGGGAATATTCTATTATATATCATGAGACAAAGGCTCATAAAAATTAAAAAGTCAAGTTTTTTTTTTTTTTTTTTTTGAGGATCCACTAAGCTATCCCAGAAGCCTCCCATCCCAGGTGACATACTTAGTAATTCTTTTAAACTAACTACTTAAAAATAAAATTAACAAAAGAGATATTCTACTGAAAGCGGTAAATCTGAAGCCTGGTTTTGTATTTTTTAAAACACTTCTTCTTTATATACATGTTTTTTGGGGGGTTAACTAGCAAAATGGAGAGATTATACCTACCAAGAACATCCCCAAATAAAAACTGTGCAATTGTCTTATTGGATTAATATACTAAAAAATCCCTCTATTATATGGGGCATTACTGAAGGATAGTAACTTTTATGTATTTTACTATATCAAAAATTATAATTAATTTCTTCAGATGACTTTTCAGTAATTTAACCAAGTGTTTGGGTAACGGTGCATAAACATTATCAGTGAAAGACCTTTGTTGAATCTACATTTCATGGATCCATTTCTAATTTTATACGTTTCTTTTCTCTTCACCTAGCCTATGATCCTCCTTTTTCCTCAGATTTTCTCCACACTCACTTCTTGGGACGATTACATTCTTTTGCATAAACCCCCGTCTGTCTCTCATGGCCCTCAACCTCTTTTCTATTTTTGAATTCCCACTACAGAGAACCCTACTGGAAGACTTTGCCATTCTACCCTTTGAAGCCAATTTATTTGACAAGATAAATAATATTTGGGGGAAAATATCTGAAACTGGACATTGCTATGTTTTTATGAAAGAGAATTTTAGGTTATTTCCAAGTATTTTCTTCAAATATCTTCCTTCACTCTTATACTTGATAACAGTTAATGCTGATAAAAAAAACCTCTTTCTGCAAACAATAAATTTTAATTTATATATATGTTTTTTTTAACTGAAAGGAGATCATTGCAAAATACAATAACAAATTGCATTCATTTCAAACCATAGCAAAGTCAATTTTCTTCTCATATGACCGTAGGCGCTGTCATGCCAAAACAAGTATGGTTCTTGGGGTTTTCTTTAGCAAGGATTTTTCTCAAAGCTTTTTTTGAATTTGTGAGAATTTCAGCCTTAATGCACACCACCCCCATTTCCCCCAACATGTTGATTTTAGAGGATATTTGTTGACCGGGGAAAGGGTATCACAGGCTTTGGTGATGAACTGTCCTGGGTATGAATCCCCACAGCCATTTCTCTCTGAATGACCTTAGGAAAGTCACTTAGCTCTTTGAATCTGTAAAATGTCCAGTTTATAGGAGACCTACAGTTAGGTGCCAACTAAACACACACATACTTTTTCACACTCATACGTGATAGACATCTCTCTTGTTCCTGGCCACTGCT